GAGCCCGTCTTTGTTTTCCTTTATCCATGTCACATGATAAAATTGTTGCGAAACTGTCTTTGCGACAGAAAATCTATTGTAGATGGAGATCCGGACACCATCCAATCAATACTCATTAAGGACCTTTATGAGGTGCAGAAAAATGAAGGCCTACATCTGGCAAACAAACTGAAGGAATCGTATGTCCACTGGAAAAGCCAACCAACCGCCGGTTCTTCGTGGCTTGCGCTCCGGCCGTGTTACTGGCAGGACCGTTTTCAAATTTTCTTTTTAATTTAGGGGCATAAAAGCAAATGTGAAAACGTGTTACGGACGTAGCTTTAGGTAGTGACCATGGTGGAAACGACGAGGAGCAGAAAGAACGTAAACGGGGCGCAGTGGTTTCTCCGGTGGTGGTGTGGCGGGCGGGTTTCTCTTCGGTGCCTTCAAACTACGATGTAGGCTTCGAACTGTGTTTTAATTTTGATCTTCGACGATACTGGAAACAGCGGAGATGCCCGGTTGCTGGACGATGGGTGGGGGGTACGCCGGTTGTGCACTTGTGCGTGTGCTTGCAGGGAACTTATCGCTGTGTTTCTGACTGCAACCGAATTGAAGTATAAATTACTTGGCATCGGCGTGCTAGATGTCGTTCTTGTCGGCAAGGGAGAATCGCACGAGGCTGGGTAACGACAGCTACCACGCCGCTGCCACAAACTCGCCTCTGAGAGCCTTTAAACCGAGGATCCTATAATTCAATTGGCTGATTCTATTCACATTCTAACCAACTTAACCTCTCATTGACGCGGCATCCTAATTTTTTTATATCACATTTACCAGCAGTTTTGTGGTTCATCCGCAATAAACCAGAAATGTCTACAGGGAAGCCAATGTCAAGTTGACTTTTTGGTTCATATTTATTATGGTGCTTTCTCGTACTTTTCTGATGCTGCTACTCCCATTACATAAAGCTGAAGACTTAATTGTTAAGGCTTTGGTGGATTTCATCCCCTTGCTCCTTAAATCTTTTTGGAAAAATTGTGATTCATTGGAGCCTTTACAGTGATTCTTGTTTGTGTGTAAGGGTAAAAAGGTCTGGGATGAACCATGCAATTTCAAAGGCAAATTTGGGGTTTTATGTGACTAAACTGCGAGGACATCTGGCATACCCCAGCAGAGGACTGGGGATTAATTTCGACTACTTAAGGATCGTTTCACGCGTGCAGCCGAAAGCTCGTTTACACGGCGCCTTCTTCACAATAAGCCTCCGTCGTATTGCGGGCACCTCAGCCGGAATTCGAACCCGCCACCTGGGGATCCATAAGCCGGTGCTTTGAGTCGGAGCTACCGAGGCGGCAACATGCATAATCAACTGGTGTTCTACTAAATACTCAAAACATGCTTATTTGTGAAGGTAAAAAGATTGAGTGCAGCAAGTGACAAGTAAAATCATGAAAGCAGTTACAAACAACGCTGCCGTTTCTAAGAATTAGCCTACATTGTGTAGTGTCGGCTTACCGGCGATGCAGAAATACAGCCAATACAGTGTACTGCACTAAATAGATTTATCACCGACGGCATATTTTACTTGCTTTACCACAGAGTGATTTTGAACTTCTTAACATTTTCACTGTCATTTTTAAAATCTTAGAAAATCTACGATATGCAAATATTGGCAGACTTCTTTTTTCAGCTTCTTTCTCCAAACTGTGGTTAATATGCTTACTGTGCTGCCTCTTCCGTATGCTGACAAAGTAGTGCAACACATGAGCAACTGTCTCTTCTTTGTGTTCGGCACATGGAGATGTTAGTGTGCATACATCAAAAACGCCCTCAATTGTCTCCCAGTAAACAGTCTGACATTCTGCATTTTTTAATAAAAAAATTCCTGTTTTCTTTAGCAGGATAAACAAATTTTGGTTTGGATGAACTAGTCCTCCCCTGTTTTTGATGTTCGTCAACGATGCCTCAGCGGATATGTTCGGCTGAATTCTGAAAGCAGAACGGCATGTGGAGCAGCTCGTCACCTTTCTCAATTTCTCGCTAATGCCACAGTATACAATCTGCGGCATTAGTCCCTTCAGAATTTTTTTCGCTAAAAAATGTCCTCCCACTCCCCGTCATCAACGGAATGAGATTGTCCAGTTTCTTCTTCACCTGGTAGAAGAAGGGGGGAGATGACCTGCTCTCATCATCTGTGCAGATGAGGGCCTTGAAGTCCGACGAGACAAGTAAAGGTTTTTCTCTTTCGACCACTCTGCAGTTTCCAAACTTTGTAGGTTTCAGGAGACCGTAGATACTCAACGTCTGGTACAGTTGCAGATATATCGGTCATTCTGATTGCCTGCCATTCTGATCTTTCCAAAGAAACGTTCAATAGGATCCTGGTTCATCTTGCTTGTGACGACGAACCTGAAGTTGTGCTTCTCCAGCAGGAGCTCAGAAAGTTCCCTCGTAGATTTTAAGATGACACGAAGTCCTTCTGACGTGCTCTTTGTTAAGAAGATGTCTTCTATATGGTCGCACCACTCTTCAGTTCCTTTTCCCAAGTTTCAAGCCATCTTACACCACGGTTCAGGACAGCAAGGTCCGAGGTGGGGGGGGGGGGGGGGGAGGGGGGGTGTCCAAGGGGCGCGGTGATCAACTGGGTGGCACGTTACGCTTGTCGAACAGTCGAGCGGACCAGGGCTAGTCGTGCGCAGGACAGCAGCGTGGCAAAAGAAAGGGACTTTTCGTGTGAGCAACAGCTCGCGGTAGACCGTTTTTTACCCAGTTTGTCTGGAATCGAATATGACGAATTTTTTACATATCCGTCAGCTCTGAAAACCTATTTGTCTTATTTAAGGAGGACCTAAAAGCCTGGTGCAAGAAGGCATCAGGCTTCCTTCAACAGTGATCTTCCCTTAAAACTTTGCGTGCTTCATTGTCAATATGTTAGAGACAGAGACATTTTTTGTAAACACGACTCAAAGCTCAAGACGGGTCATAACAACAATGTTTCTGGAGTGTGTTGGTAGCTGTATGTGCTTACGTTACACGCTACACGCGTATGTGCTTACGCGTGTAGCCTGGAGTTGGAACTATAAAGCACGTTGCCCTCTCACTCAGGCGTTCAGGCGCATCCCTTGAAATGACCAATTCAATCAAAATATCGCTGCTGTCGCCACGCTGATTCTCGCAGCGGGTATATAGTAGAAAATACGGTGAATGCAGCCTCACAGCACTTTTCCCCAGGGTGAACATTCCCAAAGCCCCTTTTCGCCCTGGTGCAAGGAGGTCAGGTTACTTAGAGTGTGCATGAAGGACAGCGGCCGCACATGATAGGCTGGTTATGGAGAGCGGCAGCATGACGTGACACCTAGCAACCGAGGTGAAAGGCCGACCTACAAAACCATTTTCCGCGGGAGAAGAGGTTTCCTCCTTGCCACCCAGAAAGGAGGAAACCCCTTCTCCTTTCCACGGAGACTAGCTTCCGGAGCCGCCCTTTTCAGGGGAGGAGGAGGAAGGAGTGCGAGAGGGGAGGGAGCGAAGGTCGTTGGGGAGCACTTTTCTACCCTGCGGAAAATGGTTTCGTAAGTCGGCCTTTAAGGGGAAGGGAGGGGGGGGGGGTGCGGTGTTAGGGCGTACTTGGTCCGCCGGTGGGGCGCCGCGAGGCGGCGAGTACGGGTGACCCGAGGTAGGTTAATATTTTCTAATGAGCTATCCGCAAATGCCGGTCTGATCGTCGGTAGGTTCGCAATGACTCTAGCGATCGTCTGTTTGTGCTAATATAGTGACGGCCTGTGCACGTGTTTTCCTCTTGGCACTAATGGTTTGGCAGCGACCTTGAAAAACAAACAAGAGTTTTCCGAATGGAAGGCCGCTTTCTGAAAGTAGAACGCAAAGTAGTATTTAATACCTCACCCAACATGGCGGCTGCTTAGTGGTTGGCTCCCCATTCGCTCGTGTGACCGCGAGGTCAGTTCTGTCACGCCGCGCCTATGTAATTTGTTTTCGTACAGCTCAAAGGCACTTAAAAGGGTTCCCGCTCACGTATAACAGTCTATAATAGGCTTATATACTTATAAAGTTGTCTGGTCAATAACAGAAGCATATTTAGTTAGGTGTCTAAACCAAACTTTTATTTAGATATATTCAAATCATTAGGAAATCATCGAAATCACACAACTGGCTTAGTTATCTGGTTGTTTTCTGCTCTTGGTGGTACTTCGTGAGTGAAAATATTTTGGCATTCAAAGGATTGTAGTTTTCGTAAATAAAGGAAAGGCGCAGGACAAACTTCGTAAAGAATTTTACTACAATAAAGGAGTGGCTTTACTAAAACATGTAAACTGATGATCTTCAACAACTAAAGCTTTAACAGCTTTCAAGGCTTGAACTGGGTGCTTCGCTTTGTTAACCTCAGTTAAATAGCAAAAGTTTTTTTGTCAATCTATTAGGATAATATAATTGACCTTTTGATCTCCGTTCCACTAGAAAAGCGCATTGCAAAGGAAACGTAAGGCGCAGATAATTGACAAAATGTCGGGCCAAGATGTTTGCTCTCTCATAACGCTAAAAATTTATAAAAATGTTTATATAAATAATTTCTGCGGCATGCGGCACTAAAAACCCAAACACTTTAGTTGATGAGCCTCTACAAGATCACTCACCGAGTATGCTAAACATGCCCCATAGAAGCCTCACATCTTTATGTGATAGCGATTCTTATTCTTACGGTAAAAGATGTACCTTTCCGCTTGTTTGTTTGTTTGTTTGTTTTTTTGGGGGGGGGGGGAGGGGGGGGCTTTTTCAGCTTTCTTGTTCTCCAGGACTGTTTGCTGGAGCTCGTTAACAATTACGTCTTGTCATAAGCCTTGCGCAGGACAGGCGGCCCTTGGCGCCGGCTAGGAAAAATAACTTCTCCAGAATGCGATAAAATTTACTTTTTGGGGCACTAAACCTGGCCGCTTCCTTCAACCTTCTAAGTTTTGCAGGGAGCGCGATGACTTAAAGACCGAACCATTCTCAGATTCGCCTTACTAAACCCTCTTTGCCTTCTCATGAGAAAAAGACCACAACCATATTAAGCCAGTGAAGAAGGTTAGGCCCCCAAGAAGAAAAAATAGTCCTTGGTAGTTTCCAAGGGTGTCTCTAAAGTAACCTGGAAAAGAAATAAAAAGCACCATAAGCATAATTAATAAATTATTTCGAGTACACTTATAGCATGCGTAGTGGAGTTCTGCTTTCATCTACGTTTTGTTTTACGATCAGCTATGTATCAACCTAGAAATGTAGGTTTTTTTTTCCTTCGCGGCAACGTTCTAAGCTAGACGTAGAAAACTAAGACACCACACACCGAATAAGAAACTGCAGGACCTATAATATTTAAAAGGAAGTTTACGGCCACTGCCATGTTCTTCATTAGTAATAATTTACATGATGTCTAAGGCAGCAAGAGAGAGGCAGTTTACTAGCGCATTTATTTGGTTTTCATCTCTATTTTCACAGGTTACTGCTGGCCACGACTTGGCTCTACGTATACTAAAATATTTTAAGTCGCTGCGTCTATTAGCAGAGTTATAACATTAGTAGATAAAACACTTGGAAACGTCTGGCACAGGCCGTACATTTTAAACAATTGTTTACCTAAGTTGAATTAAAATAAACAGTTAAACTAGTATCGTTATCTTATAAATCTGCAGAACCTATAACATTCGTGAATCTACCAAGGAGTATCTTAGATTCATAGAGAAAGACAACCTACCAATCATCCAAGGTGTCACCAGAAGTGGGGGCCCGCACAGAATGCACGATGTACCAAAGCACACACTGAGCTTTTCGACGCCCACATGTTCCATGAGGAGCACCGGTATTATGATAAAGGTGGCGCCATTGCACCAGCCCGCCAAAAGGGACAACAGAGCATGAAGATAAAAGGAATAGCAGAGGGGCATCAGGAACAGTGATGTGGACCAGAGCAGAAAGTTCAAGGCCATCATTATGCTCCTCTTCAGCGTGCCTCTGTCCGTGATCCAGCCCGATCCTATCTTTTTTTTAGAAATAAATGAACTGCGCAAAGGACGAGGACAGAGGTAGAAACGAGTACGACACACAGAGCGCAGACTTCCAACTGTTTATTTGGCGCAGACACAACAGTATATATGACAGCAGCAATCAGTTTGCGGTTAAATAAGGTTTAAACATGACCGTCCAAAAAAGAGAATTCCTTGTCTGATAGTGAAACAGATTGCATGCTTATGCAGTCGTGACCTTTCTTTTTAATGAAGTAGGCTTCTACGAGTTTTCTTTCCGTTGCCTCATTTGCTCTTGCGAGAACACGTGTCCTTTGCAAATCAGGATGAAAACCGCATTTCAAACAATGTACAGACAGATGTCCGCCTGTGTTGTTTTTTATCGACAGATAGTGTTCTCGTGCCCTCAGGTTGAAACAACGTCCAGTCTCGCCAATGTATACTCGCCCGCAAGAAAGCGGAATTTCATAGATAACACCGGATGCGCATTCCGTGTATCGCGTGCTGTGCTCCTTTTTGCATTTGTTGATGTTCACTCTTGGCTTCATCATAGGGCACACTTTACTGAGTTTGCAGGGCGCTGAAAAGACGACCGAGAGACCATACCTGGCCGCTACCTTTTTCAGGTTATGGGACAGGCCGTGGTGGTACGGGATGACATGCACGCGCATTTTTTCTTTTCGCCTCTGCTCATTACTACCAGTTTTCTGCTTCTGTAGCAAGCGCACACATACAGCAGAGACCAAGTGTTGGGGGTACCCTGCGGCAGTAAGGCGGTCACACTGATCGCGGAAACTGGACGCCATTTCATGAACACATGATTTTTCTAATGCTGAAGTACAGCTAGACATAACGATGGCTCTTTTTACAAGCTTTGAGTGTGCACTGTCATAGGGTGTGCACTGTCATAATCTGTTTCACTATCAGACAAGGAATTCTCTTTTTTGGACGGTCATGTTTAAACCTTATTCAACCGCAAACTGATTGCTGCTGTCATATATACTGTTGTGTCTGCGCCAAATAAACAGTTGGAAGTCTGCGCTCTGTGTGTCGTACTCGTTTCTACCTCTGTCCTCGTCCTTTGCGCAGTTCATTTATTTCTAAAATCATGAACCAACTAGCCCGCCAAAAGGTGTTACCCGATCCTATCCTCGCCAACAAATCTGCCGTTGCGTAAAAGAACAACAGGAAGACAGCGTCCCACTTGGGAATGTTTCTGTCCATCGCCAAGTCCACTATGACTGTTAAGTAAGTGAACATGTTTGTCACAATTTGTGCCTGCGAAAAAGTGATTAGGTAGAATTTGGGAATCCAGAGGAAGGATACCAGGCCAGTATTCACTTTCACCGGGATGGGCTTAGATGCTCCGTCATGTTGTTTCAGCAGCGAACCTTCCACCATCATGCACCTATCATCGGGTACGCCCACCTGTCGTAGAGACTTTGCATCACCCTTTTTGAGGAGATGGCTTGCTACTTCAGCGTCTGCGAGATCTGTGCAAGCGGTGAGGTGTTTCTCTTCCAAGCAATCACCCACCTCACTTGCAAACAGTTCATCGTTTGGGGATATGTTGGGGCTCCTTTTGAGTGAAATGTCTTGCGGGATTATTCTGCTTGTATCGTGATTCATCGGGCAATCCAGGCGTGGTGAAGCGTTACCAAATGAGGCAACTGGCTTTTGTTGTGGAGTAGGCGGCAGCCGGTGGAGAAGTGCGCCAGCAATAGCGTTGAGCATGACGCCACCGCAGAGCAGCAAGCCTCCCCTTGTGCCATACTCGTCGAAAAAGAACTGCACAAGCGGTGGGTAGAGGAAGCTACCCAAGGTGACGCCGGCATTGCTAATCCCAGATGCGACGGTTCGGTAGCGGAGAAAGTGTTGACTGATCACTGTGTAGCACAATGTCAAAAGGGCTATGCCGCAACCTGGGAAGACAAATAAAGAGAGGGAGAGAGAGGGAGTGCAGGATCACATATGTGAAGATAGTCTATCTTTCATAGACGTTTTGCAAGTACGGCCCCAAATAGCCGCCTCCTTGCTGCTGATGTACGTTCGCTTATAGCTATTCAAAGTATTGCTAAGGCGTGCTCGCAGTTGCCAGACCTGTGCCCCCGAAAAGCGTTTTCCGCACACGGTGGCCGGACTAGAATATGAGGCGTGGCTACTTGCAAACCTGAAAACTCGCTTTTTCAATTTAAAAAGAAAGCTGACATATTGCACTTCGTAGATACACATTTTCAGCTTCACGAAGGGGCATATTTTAATACAATTGAAAATATTATTTTCATAGAGTGAAAACTTCCAAAAGGAAGACGCACTTGCTTCACAATGTGTATTGAGGCAGGAGGTAATTTAATTATTACTTAACGTTTCAGTAAGCTTGATTTTAATAGCTGGAATAACCGAAATATCAGTTATATATTTCACTGATCAATAATATCATTGTCTCGATCCATGCTCTCAACAGACAAATGCACACGATCACTAAAAAAAAGTACATATATATATATATATATATATATACACACATACAGGGTGTTTTTCTTTAAGCATAAGAGATTTGTTTTAAAAAAGTCGTGAAAGTTACGCTTATGCCGTTTGGGGAGGTGAGTTATACGGCCAGGGGGACATATTATAGGGGGCTAATGGTAACGATCAGTCGGCTAATTAATTAACATGCGTTAATTAACTTTTAATTAATGAAAATAGACATATGGTTCCAATTAGAAACTTGCTCAGTGTCATCGAAAAGCACTAAATCAGTAATTTTCAGAAAGACTTTGAGCGCGTGAGAAGCGTAGTAGTGCACTAAAGTTACCACTCGTGGAGCAGGTACAAAGCTAGCGGGTTGCGATAAGGCGCCCGCGCGATTTTTCCGTCTCTTACCTAGCCCCAGCCTTGTACCTGCTCCACGAGTAATAACTTTAGTATAATACTACGCTTCTTACGCGCCAGAAGTCTTTCTGAAAATGACTGATTTAGTGGTTTTCGATGACGATGAGCAAGTTTCTAATTGGAACCATATGTCTATTTGCATTAATTAAAAAGTTAATTAACGAATTTTAATTAATTAGACAACTGATCATTACGATTAGCCCCCCATAATATGTCCCCCTGGCCGTATAACTCACCTCCACAGGCGGCATAAGTGTAACTTTCACGGCTTTTTTTAAACAAATCTGCTAAGCTTAAAAAAAAAAAAAAAAAAAAAACCGGTATATATGCATATATATATACACACTAAGCAACAAAACCCCGCGTGAAATTTACGTCCTGCTTATAAAACACTGATAACTTAACGAGAATCGCTTTTTTCGCTTACCATGTGCAACGCCCAAGAAGAATGAGAGGTATGGAATCCCGTTTGCGAAGATGCAGACAGAAACGGACAGAGAGCTTAGAAGGCACCCCGTCAAGGTCAGCTTCCATACTGCCACGCGTCTCGCTAGAAGTCCGGACCCCAGGGCTGTGAAATAAATGACGGGAATTTGTTTTATGCGGATGCCAAGCCAGGCTGTTGCGAGTAAATGTTTGGGCGACCTATTTGCTCCGAACAACCTATCCCTACAGCTTCTCAAAACATTGTCTCGTATGAACGAGATAAGATTCGTTTGAAGAATATGATGTCATGACGACGACATGGCGAAACGCTAGGTCGTCATGGCGTTATGACGCCGTCATCATGTCATGTGACGTGATCATAACGTTATCATGACGTCATGGACTCACGTGACCTTACAGTCCTATGTCACGGTTCTTCATGACGGTCTCCTCATAGAGACCGGCTGATAAATCACATCCTGGGATCATATTCCTGACATAATTTTTTCCAGACGACAAATGTACCCTATAGCACGGACGAGTTTGCCTTTTAGAAAGATTGTTTTCTTCGACGGGCGCCATAACACCAAGAAATGGTATTCGAAATCGAATTCTGCGAGCAAATTGCACTTCCACCTACCGGCGGCAGAGTAAATCACGCCTGTGATGAACAGTGGCCACGCAGCCTGCTGTCGGGTCACGTGGTAGGTCGTCATGATGCCGACGTAGATCACCTGTGCGGCGCGAAACATAGCGAAAGAAAATATGTTGATCCAACAACAGGCGGCGGCAAGCACCCAGCTCCTCGCGGAGTCCATGGCCGGCCGCTTTCTATACGTTTGGCGCTTTGAAAGGGACCACGTTCCTTGGGGGCAGCTATCAATTGGGCTTATTCTTATGGGTGCTTTGGCCCAACTGATAAAGCAGGCCTTCATATGCTCTCCCTCGCTCCAGATGTAGATAGTGTTTAGGACTCAAGCATCTGGAACACGAATTGCAGCGGTAGCGCGTGCGAAATGCTGTTTTCGCGCGTTCTTGTTGAATTCAACCTGCGTTTTCCGCAGTAGACAACTGGGGCTCCAGGTTGGGCACTTGTCGAGGAAGTCGACGAGATCGTTAACCGCCGCGATGGCCCACTGCCGCGCTTGACCTGCGCGTTTTTCCGATGGCAGGGCGGCGCTGACCCATTGCGGCGGTCGGCAATCTTTCTCGCAGATTGTGCAACTTAGAACCCCTGTGCGGTCTTACAATTTTTGTTCTTTATTACAGGTCACGTGCTTTTCCACAGGGCAATAACACGATGTGGTGTAGAAAATTAAATTTACGAATGTGGAAGCTTGTGGCTCACATCAGTAACGGTCATTCGTTTAATTAAGGGCCTAGAGTTTACGGACTCACTCAAACCAGAAAGCACATCATGATAAGGGCAATTCCATCAAACATGAAGTCATTCTGCTGCTGTTCAATCATTCTTTGCCGTCGCTCTGGCAACTTGTGTGGGCGTCACGCAGCATATATTCTCCATAGCGGCTTTTAGCTCTTCGCTTTGTGCCCGGTTCTGCTGAGTGTCACGTGACAGGACAGTCACTGTGTTCCTTCTGGAAGAAATGGAGATGCAGCAAAAGTCACTGGAACGTAAACTTGTTTGACAAAGATCTGTTTGATTGGGTAAAGCTGCTGTATGCTTTCAGACTTTGTCATCCTTCTTACAACCTGCTTGATGAGCCCCTCCATGCCATCTCTGCCCGTGTAGATTTTGCTCGGACCAACTTGTCCTACAGCTACCCTACAAAAACTTGTCACGTATGAACGCGATAAGTTTCGCTTGAAGAATATGATGTTATGACCACGACATGATATAACGTGACGTTGTCATGACGTTATAACGCCGTCATCGTGTCACGTGACATTGTCATAACGTTATGATGACTTCATTGTCTCACGTGACGTAACAGTTCAATGTCACGGCACTTCATGACGGTCTCTTATAGAGACCGGCTCATAAAACACGTTTTGTGCTAGCACTGCAATTTGTTGCCTAAATGCTTGAGTAAGAGGGATGACGAAGCCTGACAGCAAAGTGCTAAGGTGGTTGGAGTAACTTTTAATGAATATATGCTGTGGGATGAGACGGTGCAGGACACAACCGTCGAGCTCTCAAAGGTTGTAGGCGCTTTGTATAAATACCGTAATCTCTTACCATCCTCGATAATGCTGTTTATATAACACGCCCTGTTCTGCTCATATTTCGATTACTGTTTCCTGGTCTGGGGTACCACTTCGAAGGCGAACGTCCAGAGACTTTTCATAATGGAAAAGAAGGCAATACGAATAATATGTAATGTAGCGTATGATGACACCACGAAATCTTTGTTTAAAAAGTTTGACACGTTAGAAATCATGATTACTATTGTTATAAGCTTTTGGTGTCATTTAAAAGATCATTAAACAACCCTGTTAGCGTTTTTGATTCAGTCTCTGGTTTGAAGTCGCGGGACGCAACCTACAGCACTCGTCATTCTGGAAACTGGGCCGCACCGCGCTCTAGAACCAATTATGGTGACCAGAGACTGGCTTTTACTCTTCCAAGAATTTTAAACAACATTAAAGCAACGGGAATTTCCGGGGCAAACACAAGCAAAAAGGAAATTCGTGGCCTATTTGAGTGATCTATTGAATACATGTCATGTTTTGAAGGTATAGAGGTATTCGCGTATATGTTTTTAAAAGTCATTGTGCTTTGTTGTGTGTTCGTTACTAAGCTCTTGGAGCAAGCGTGTGCAACTCTGAATTACGTATACATTGTTTAACCCTTTTCACTGTATATAATTGACACCACTGTCCTGTATAAACACTCGATTACCTGTCTTTATATATGTTAAATTGTTCATTCACTCATATGTTGTGTTTCTTCTGCGGATGTAAAGGGGAGGCGGCGGCTTCGTCCAGTAGCGACATGCTGTATTTTCCCCCTGCCTTCCCCTCTCAGACGGAGACCAAATAAAAAAAATTATTGATTGAGATATAGTTAAAAGGAATGGACACCAATCATAACCCTAAAAAGGTACAGCCAAGCGTTTCGAAACGGATTTCGTTTCTTCATCAGGTTTGACTACGCGGACGCAGCAGGCTTTCTTCTTCTCCTTTTGCTTATCGAGATACCTTATTTCTTCTTTTCCGGGTCTGTTAATTTGGCAGCTTTTCTTGCCAGGTGACGTAGGCCCTGGGTGTACACGGTTTGCAACGCACCTAGGCACCTGTTTATGTTCCCCGGTGGATGTTGAATGTGCAACGACTCGAGGAAGAGCCTTTTCCGTATATGTGGCTTCACGTTAAGCACGCCCGTGTTCGCGAAGTCGATTCAATGGTCGAGGTCCTCGTTGTGTTTGGCGGCAACGCTTTGGCCATGGTCAAATTTTCGCACGTCGTTCTTATGCTGACGGAGTCGCTCTGGAAGATCTTCGTTTCGCCAATGTAGGACGCGGGGGCACTCGGCGCATGCAATGTGCTAGGCCACGCCTGGAGCTCTTTCTTTTAATAGCCGGTCCTTTGTGTTGTGGCATGATTCGGCTCAGTGTGGACACTGGCTTGTTGGCAACTTAAATTCCCTCCTTCCTGAGTACACGCGCCAGCGCTTCGCCGCTACCTTTACGTACGGGACGCTGATGCGCGCGACGCGGGCAAGGGCGCGTCTCATTCGATGCCTTCTTTTCTTGGTGGGCGTCACCCATTGCTGGCGACGCGTTCAACAAAACTGCTGGTATAGCCGTTGTTCTGCAGGTCAAGAATGGTGTTCTGCTTCTCTATTCTTCGGTCGGCCTCTGATGAACAGATAGTTCTTGCCCTGAATAGCAGTGTTGAGACCACCGACACCTGGTGGCCTCGGGTGGTTCGAACCAAAGTGAAGGTGGCGCCCGGTGTGAGTCGATATTCGGTGCGCAGTGAACTTTGGTCCTTCCCCTCGCCTTGCCATCAGCACGTCGAGAAACAGCAAGGTGTTATCTCTCTCGTACCCTACAGTGCACTTTATGGCGGGCTTGTTGGAGTTAAGATGGGCAAGGAAATCGTTGACTTGATTTTTCTTTAAAACGCAGAAACAGTCACAATGTAGCGCATGAAAACTTTGGGTCTGCTGTCGAAAGACCGTAGCGCTTTCTGTTCTATTGTTTCCATTGTTGGGTTTGCCGCGGTGACCGATAGAAGCACCAATCGCCGTTCCGCTAACTTGCTTTAAAAGCTCACCTTTGCTGGCCCTTTCCTTGGTTGCCCAAATCAACTCCTTCCTTCTTTCCTAGCTTGCCCATCGCATCGCATGCACATACGGTGTAAATGAGGCCTAAGCTGTCTTAGCTGTCAGATGTCGCCTGTACTTCGTGTGTGAGAATATGTTGGTGTCCATGGGATTGTGGTTTTGAAAAATAAAGACGCAGGACAAACTTTGTTAAGAATATTACTCTAATAAAGGAGTGACTTTATTCAGAAAGCATGTAAGCTGGTGCTCTTTAACAACTATAATTTTAGTAACTCTCACATCTTTCAACCGCGCTTTGATTTTTAAACATTTTAAAGATTTAAAGCTAGAGAGCTAAAGGTTTTTTGTGATATTAATAAGATAATACCATTGACCTCTTGAGCTCCTTTCCAGTCGAAAAACGCATTGCTCAGAAAACGTAGAAATCAGATAATTAAAAAAAAAGTACGGGCCACGATTTTTGGCTTTCTCACAACGAATAAAATTTCTAAAAATGCTTACATAAAACATCTCCCGCGGCATGCAGCACTGCCAACCCAAATTATTTAATTGAGACTCCCTATTGCCCACCGAATCTACTACATATGTGTCCCACATAAGGCTGACCTCTTCGAGTGATAGCGGTTATTATTATCACGTTGAGACAAGTATCTGTGTTTTGTCTTTCTTATCATGCTTCTGCTATTTCTTTCTCAAACAGGAGACTTCAAAAACGTGCGGAGTCGCACAACTCCGCCATATGGCGTGCGACGTTCCGCTTCCGTTCGCGTTTTTTGCCAAAGGGAAAGCTTCCGTCCGCCAACAAATGCTTATGTCCTTTACGGACACCTACAGCATGCTCATCACCTGGGTCCACGGACAGCCACTGACACGCTCTGTTGGCGATCGCTCAATCGCTCCATGCCTCCACGGCTCTTCAAATCACACAAACGGGAAAGGGCGGGATACGAGGCGCGGTAGAACAGATGGACAGGCGCGCCATTGGTAGGTCGTATGTGGCGTCAGGTCTGACGAGCACTGACGTCACAGAAAATCAGAGGAGGCGAGGAGGAAAGCCGTGATGTTTGCCTGGTGAATGTCCAAACAGAAGACAGACTGCCGGACTTGAACTTTCACCAAGAAATTCGCTTCACGCGCTCTTAAGTGTCATGTTTGGACACCCTTTACTGGTGCCCGTGAACATCAACGCCGTGTCATGTGTCTTGCGCAGGACAGGCGGTTCTTGGCGCCGGCTAGGAAAAATAACTTCACCAAAACACGATGAAATTAACTTTTTTTAGGCTCTGAACCTGGTTTCTCCGTTCCACCTTCTGAGTTTTGCAGGGAGCTTTATGGCTTAATGATCGATGCATTCTTAGATTCGCGTTCCGAAACCCACTTTGCCTTCTCTTGACAAAAAGACCACAACCATATTAAGCCGGCAAAGAAGGTTAGGCCACCAAGAAGGAAAAATAGTCCCTGGTAGTTTCCAAGGGTGTCTCTAAAGTATCCTGAAAAAGAAATAACAAACACGATAAGAATAATTGTTAAATGATTACGAATACACGTATAGCATGCGTATACTTGAGTCGTGCTTTGATCTACACTGTTTTTTATAATCAGCTACGAATTAAGCTAAAACCATCGTGTCTTTTTTTCGGCAAAGTCCTAAGCTTGACGAAGAAAACTAAGACACCCCAGAGAAGGCTAAAAAACTACATAAACTAAATATATTAAACGAAAATTTATGAACACTACCATTTTTTATTAGTAATATTTTACACGATGACTAAGGCAGTAAGAGCAATGCAGCCTCTTGGAGATTTTATTTTGTTTTCATCTTTATTTCCGCAGGTTACTGTTGGGCATGACGTGGCTAAATGGGGTCAATAATTATTTATTTAGTGGCGTTTATTACCACATTTGGGGCATTTCTAGATACAATCGCGTGAGAATGTGAGCTACACGGCGTAGATTTGAGGCAATTGTTCCCTCAAGCTGAATTAAACTATACGGATCAACTATACACGTTATTTTGTGAATCTACAAAGTCAACGAAATCTGTACGCTACCAAAAAGCATTTTAGACTCAAAATAAAGAAATAACTTACCAATCAGGCCTGGCATCACTAGAAGTGGGAGCCCGCACAGAAGGAACGAGGTACCAAAGCACACACTGAACTTTTCGAGGCCCACAAGTTCCATGAGAAGCACCGGTATCATGATGAAAGTGGCACCATTGCACCAGCCCGCCAAAAGGGCCAACAAAGATTGAAGATAAAAAGAATAGCAGAGGGGCATCAAGCAGAGTGCTGAGGACCAGAGCAGCAAGTTCAAGGCCATCATTATGCTCTTCTTCAGTACACCTTTGTCCGTAATCCAGCCAGACCCTATCCTCGCCAACAAATCTGATGTTGCGTAAAATAACAACAAGAATACAGAGTCCCATTTGGGAATGTTTCTGTCCATCGCCAAGTCCACGATGACGGTTAAGTAAGTTGACATGTTTGTCACAATCTGTGCCTGCGACAGAGAGATTAGGTAGAATTTAGGAAGCCAGAGGAAGGACACCAGGCCAGTATTCATTTTCACCGGGATGGGCTCAGATACTCCGTCATGTTGTTTCTGAAAAGAACCTTTCACCATCATACACCTTTCATCGGGTTCGCCCGCCTCACGCAGAGCCTTTGCATCACCCTTTTTGAGAAGATTGTTTGCAGCTTCAGCGTCTGCGACATCAGTGCAAGCGTGGAGGTCTTTCTCTTTGAAGTAATCACCCATCTCACTTGTAAACTGTTCATCGTCTTGGGATGTGTTGGGGCTCCTTTTAACTGAAATGTCCTGCGTGATCATTCTACTTGTATCGTGATTCATCGGGCAATCCAGTCGTGGTGGAGCTTTACCAAATGGAGCAACTGGCTTTTTTTGTGGACTAGGAGGCACTCGGTGCAGAAGTGCGCCAGCAGTTGCGTTGAGCATGACGCCGCCGCAGAGCAGCAAGCCTCCCCTTGTGCCATACTCGTCGAACAAGAACTGCACAAGTGGTGGGTAGAGGAAGCTACCCAAGGTGACGCCGGCGTTGCTAATCCCAGATGCGACGGTTCGGTAGCGGAGAAAGTGCTGACTGATGACTGTGTTGCAGAGTGTCAAAAGGGCTATGCCGCAACCTGGGAAGACAGTGCAAGGGAAGAGAGGAAGTGCAGGATATTGTATGAGAAGATGGTTTCCATTTTTGATAGATGTTGGCAAGTATGGCCTCAGGAAGCCGCCGCCTTGCTGCTGATGTACATTCGCTTATATAGTCTTGCTAAGCCTTGCTGAGGCCTGCCCGCATTTTCCAGGCTTGCCCGTCAAAAAAGAGTTTTGCGCATACAGTGGCCAGACTAGATTTTAGGGAGTGGTTGGCCACTTGCAAACTTAAAAATTCAATTTTAAGATAAATAAAAGAAACGGACATATTTCACTTCGACGATAAGCTCTCTGAGATTCAGGACTGGGACAAGATGTTAATTCAGTTAAATTTTTTTTGTTTTGGTTTTGTACAGCGAAAACTTCCAAAACGTAAACACATCTACTTCACAAACTGTATTGAGGAGGGAGATAATTGAATTTTGACCTAATTAACAGCTCAATAAGCTCAATTTTAATAGCTGTAATGATCAACATATCAGTTATATATTTTTACTGATCAATAAGACACTGGTCTAAATCCGTGCTTTCAACGCACAAATGCACACGTTCACGCACAGACGTACAGATATACATACACTTGAGAATAAAAAAAAGCCACATAAAAGTCATGCCATGTTCTTTAAAAATTTTATAAATCAATGTGAACCGCTGATTTCGCTTACCATGTGCAACGCCCAGGAAGAATGACAGGTATGGAATCCCGTTTGCAAAGATGCAGACAGAGACGGACAGGGAGCTTAGAAGGCACCCCGTCAAGGTCAGCTTCCATACTGCCACGCATCTCGTCAAAAGTCCGGCCCCTAGGGCTGTGAAATAAATGGCGGAAATTCGTTTTATGCGGATGCCAAGAGAGGCTGCTATTAGTAAATTTTTGAGGTGCGTATTGTCAAATAAAATACGCTGTGGGACTCCGTCATCCCTTTCATACCTTATAATACCCTTCATGCTAAGTGTGTCCGTGTAATGTTTGCTCGGTACTTCACTTACGGTTACTTAACACTTATCACGTCTCAAACGTAGTACTTTTCAAAGATTATGACATCATGATGACGTCACAGTGTCACGTGACGTACCAGTTCTTTGTGACAATTCTTCATGACGATCTTCTCATAGAGACCGGCTGATAAACACATTCTGTGTTAATATTCCTGTTAGAATTACTTGTACAAATATAAGTCTCAGCATCGAACCTCACGGAAGAGTTCGTTTCGAAGAAAGATTGCTTTCTTCGACAAACGCCATAGGATCAAAAGGTGTTTGAAACCAAACTGTGCGAGCGAATTGCACTTCCACCTACCGGCGGCAGTGTATATCACGCCGGTGATGAACAGTGGCCACGCAGCCTCCTGGCGGGTCACGTGGTAGGTTGTCATGATGCCGACGTAAATCACCGGTGCCGCGCGAAACGTGGCGAAGGAAAATGTGTTGATCCAACAGCAGGCCGCAGCAAGCACCCAGCTCCTCGCGGAGTCCATGGCCGGCCGCTGTCTATACGTTTGGCGCTTTGAAAGGGACTGCGCTTCTTGGGAGCAGCTATCAAGTGGGCGTTTTCGTATGGCTGCTTTTGCCCAACTGATAAAGCAGACACTCTTACGCTATCCCTCGCTCCCGACGTAGATAGTGTTTAGGAGTCAAGCATCTGGCAGCACGTGGGAATGGCAGCACGTGGGAATGGCAGCACGTGGGAAAGACTCTGTTTTCGCAGGCACGTGCTAACTTAAACCTGCGTTTATCGCTATGGATAACTTGGGCTCTGGGTTGAACGCTCGGGGAGAAAGTTGACGAGATCGTTAACCGCCGCGATTGACCAGTGCCGCAATTGACCTTCGCGCTCTCCGATGGTAGTGTGGCGCTGACCCATCGCGGCGGTCGGCAATCTGGCCGACTTTCTCGTCGATTGTGCAACTTAGAACCCCTGTTCAGTCTTACGTTTTTGTTTTCCTCTCTAATTCTTGGTCACGTGCATCCCATAGCGCAGTGTTGGGAAGTGCTTTAAATGCATTGTACTTTAAGTACTACTTTAAGTAGATTGAAGAAACTTAATTGTACTTCACTTAAAGTACATTCTCTGAGTATGTACTTGTACTTTCCTTGAAGTATTTTTTTTCGTGTAACTTTCGAGAAAAGAGAAAAGTACAATTGCCGACTTCAGAGTACATTCCCCAAATTAGGTTTCGTTAAATTTTTATCACGAAATGATACTTTTTCAGCTCTGAAGAAATACTGGGAGGGATATTCTGCTCTTGCCAGAAAAGTGAGCAGACAACGCATCGCTCCATTTGTTCTGAGGGTTGCTTTCCCTTAGCTTTTTAAACTCTCGCTACTTCTTGTTTGGTCAGCGCAACTGAGGAGGTTTCAAATATTAGGAGAGCAAAATTAATCATAAAGTAGCACCTGAGACTGTGGTGCGGGAAAATTTAGGAGAGCGTCACAATGCTTTGAGATATTCTTTTGTCTTTTCCTTCGACTTGAAAGTTCCTTAATTTTTTTTGCACCCCAATCTCAGGCGTCATATTATGATTAATTATTACCAGCGCGCTTGCACATTTACTGTTTTTTTTTTTCTCCATTAAGGAGTTGACATTTCCTATGAGAGGATTGCTTGCGGAAGCTACGGGGCTGACGTCATGGTCTCTCCTAGTACATTTAGCCCCCTTGAGTGCAACAATCCAGTGCAAGGGGCGCCAAATTCAGAAGAGGGACTTCTGAATTTGACTCCAGTCCTGAAAATAACTACCCTGTGGCCACTTGACATGATCAAATATTTGCCGCTGTTTTTAAAAATATGTCATGCACCCCTGATTACCCCTGGGCAATGCATACCAGTTAAACTCACTGTATAAGGAAATGAAAGGGCATCATGAAAGGGCATCATGAAAGGGCATCATCAAAGATTGTGTTAAAATACTTGTACTTTACTTTAAAAGTACATTGTATTTATAGTACTTTACTTCAAGTACGTTGCACCCAGTGTACTGGGTGTACAATAATGTACAATAAATGGCAATGACAAAAAAAAACGGAAACTCCAAATTCAGAGCGAAAAAAAAGTTTGTTCTCTCTCTCTCTCTCTCTCTGTTTTTCTCGAACATTTCACGTGAAAACGGATTTTGTTTTGTTGTTAGAAGGGTGATGTTGCTCGATGTTGCAGAGCATTTGCATGCCTTACAATGAGCTGGTAAATGGCCTGCTGGTGTGCTCTTCACAGATGCTGCATGTTTTCTAATTCTGTCGTTTATGCAACGGCCTGTTTGTCCAGTGTAACATTTGCCGCGCGGAAGGGGAATGTGATATACAACTCCTGTTTGGCACTGAACATAATTTGCTTTGTGGAAAGTGTCGAATGCTTTCATTTGGTCTGGTGGTTGGTTACCTCTTCTGCACATAGAGTTTGTGCTTTGTTTAGTGCTGAGCAAAGTACTTGAATGTTGTCTTCCTGCGATCTTTTTTATCTTGTGAGTAATACCGTGAATGTATGGGATACAAATATTATTTTTTCTGGTATTTTCTTTTTCTTTGGAGTCTGCCGTTGTGTGTGTGTGTGTTTTTTTTTGTGCATATGTTCTCACAGACCTGTTCGTCCAATGTAACTAATTAAACTGTAATATCACTTGATGACCACATTTAATATTTAGTTGGTTTGCGACTAACAATTGTGTCTAACAAGGTAAATATTGGAAAAATAATGCTTTCGTAAAACAATTTACAAAAAAGGAAAAATATACGTCCATTCTGAGCACTAAAAAAATAATTTGCGTGTTTTTTTTTTTGTTTTTTTTTTTTTTTTTGCTGCGCCGCCAACAATTTTCGTCGTCCTTTTTAAATGAGAGATTTCTGAAATCGGTCATCGACCTCGAGGTCAGGATTGTTAAGATCTAGATTTTGCAAAAACGTTTTCACGCGTGAAATTGGCGCACGGTGTTAAAACGTGAAAGCAAAGGCTAACGTCTTCATGTGATAGCGATAGCGATTGTTATTATCACGGTGACACACGTACCTTTGTTTTGGCTTTCTTATCAGGCTTCTGCTATCTCTAGCTCGAGGACCGCTTCAGGGTTGTTCCAACATGTGGCTTCAAAAACGTGTGAAGCCACAAAACTCCGCCATACGGCGTGCGGCGGTCGGCTTCCGTCCGTGTTTTTTTGTCGAATGGAAAGCTTCCTTTAGCCAATGTCCGCTCCGCTTTCTTAAGCCCCCGCAACCGTTAGACGTCACCTTGCGACCCCCACTTTGCGAACCTCTGGCCTAAAGCATGCTCATCACGTGGGTCCGGGCAGTCACTCCCACGCTCTGTAGACTGTCACTCAATTGCCTTAAAGCTTCCACTACTCTTTAAGACCCCAAAACGGGAAAGGAAAATGCACCAGGCATGGCAGAACAGATGGCCAGGCACACCATTGGCAGGTCGCACGTGACGTCAAGTCTGACGAGCACCAACGTCACAAACAACCAGAGGAGACGAGGAGCAAAGCCGTGATGTTTGTCTGGTGGATGTCCAAACAGAAGACAGACTGCCGGACACCATCTTTCCCTTAATGTGGTGGAGAAGTGTCGCTCCACGCGTTCTTAATTATCATATTTGAGCAGGCGTTTCCTAGTGCCCGCGAATATTTACGTTTTCTCACACGTCTTGGCGCCGGCTAGGAAAAATAACTTCTCCAAAACACGAACCAATTAGTTTCTTTCAGGCTCTGAACCTGGCCGCTCCTTTCAACCTTCTGAGTTCTGCAAGGAGTGTGATGACCTAATGATCGATCCGTTCTTAGATTCGCCTTCCGAAACCGTCTTTGCCTTCTCTTGGGAAAAAGATCGCAACCATAATAAGCCGTTGAGCAAGGTTAGGCCACCAAGCAGGAAAAATAGTCTCTGGTAGTTTCCAAGGCTGTCTCTAAAGTAACCTGAAAAAGAAATGAAAGACACCGTAAGCATAATTATTAAATCCTTTAGAATACACCTATAGCATGCGTAGTTGTGCTTTGATCTACGAAGTCTTTTACGATCAGCTATGGATTAATCTGAGACCATAATTTTGGGCGGCAAAGTTCTAAGCTCGACGAAGAAAACTAGATACTGCAGAACGACTACAAAACCTCAGAAACTAAATTATTTAGAAGAACATTTATGGAGACTGCCATTTTCTTTATTAGTAATAATTTACATTATGAATAAGGCAGCAAGAGCAATTCATCCTCTTGGCGGTTTTATTTTATTTTTATAAGTACTTTCACAGGTTACTGCTGGGCATGAATTCATTCTATGAATACTAATTTTTTTCAATTTTTTGCGTTTATTACCAGATTTATAACGTTAGTAAACAAAGCACATGGAAACGTCTGGCACACTCCGTAGATTTTAGACAATTGTTTCCTCAAGCTAAGTTAATCTATGCGGTTCAAGTGTAGACGTTATTTTATAAATCTACAGAGCCTATGAAATCAGTGAATCTACCAAAGTGTATTTTAGACTACCAGTAAGAAAAATATTAACGTACCAATCAGCCCCGGTATCATCAGAAGTGGGAGCCCGCACAGAAGGAACGAGGCACCAAAGCACACACTGAACTTTTCGAGGCCCACATGTTCCATGAGAAGCACAGGTATCATGATGATGGTGGCGCCATTGCACCAGCCCGCCAAAAAGGCCAACAGAGCATGAAGATAAAAGGAATAGCAGAGAGGCATCAGGAACAGTGATGTGCCCCAGAGCAGAAAGTTCAAGGCCATCATTACGCTCTTCTTCAGCATTCTTTTGTCCGTGATCCAGCCAGACCCTATTCTCGCCAACAAATCTGCCGTTGCATAAATTAACAACAGAAATACGGAGTCCCACTTGGAAACTTTTCTGTCCATTGCGAAGTCTACAATGACAGTTATGTAAGTGGACATGTTTGCCATAATTTGGGTATGCGAAACAGTGATCAGGTAAAATTTGGGAAGCCTCAGGAAGGACACCAGGGCAGCATTCATTGTAACCGGGATGGGCTCAGATACTCCGTCGTGTTGTTTTTGCAACGAACCTTCCACCGTCCTACACCTATAATCGGGTTCACCCGCCTGTTGCAGAGCCTTTGCATCACTCTTCTTGAGAAGATCGCTAGCAGCTTCAGCGTCTGCGACGTCTGTGCAAACGGTGAGGTATTTTTTTTCCCAACAATCATCCATCTCACATGCAAACCGTTCTTCGTCTTGGAATGTGTTGGGGCTCCCTTTATCTGAAATGTACTGCGGAATCAGTCTACTTCTATTGTCAATCATCGGGCAGTTCAGACGTGGTGCAGCATTACCAAATAAGGCAACTGGCTCTCGTTGTGCAGTGGGTGGCCGTCGGTGAAGAAGTGCGCCAGCAGTAGCGTTGAGCATGACGCCGCCGCACAGGAGCAAGCCTCCCCTCGTACCATACTCGTCGAAAAGGAACTGCACAAGCACTGGGTAGAGAAAGCTACCCAGGGTGATGCCTGCACTGCTAATCCCCGATGCGACTGTCCGGTAGCGGAGGAAGTTCTGACTGATGACTGTGTTGCAGAGTGTCAAAAGGGCAATGCCGCAACCTGGGAGGACAGTGGAAGGGATATAAAGGAAGTACGGGGTGAGGTATGAGAAGATAGTTTCCATTTTTGATAGATGTTCGCAAGTACGGCCTCTGGGCGACGCCGCGTTTCTGCTGATCAAAAATTAAAAACAGCGCAGGGACACAGACAAGAACAAGAAGGTTGACGAACAAGGCGCTGACTTACAACTAAAGTTTATTTGTGCTAACTTTAGTTGTAAGTCAGCGCCTTGTTCGTCTACCTTCTTGTTCTTGTCCGTGTCCCTGCGCTGTTTTTTTTATATTTAACCATGAAATACCAACTAGCCCAAACTTCTGCGTTAGCCAACTTCATTTCTGCTGATGTACATTCGCTTATATGGTCTTGCTAAGCCTTACTGAGGCGTGCCCGCATTCGCCACATGTGTGCATCAAAAAAAGATTTTGGCGCACACGGTGGACAGACTTGATTTTGACGAGTGGTTGGCTGCTGGCAAACTTTAAAGTTCACTTTTAAAATAAAGGAAAAAAATACTAACATATTTCAGTTCGAAGATAAGCGTTCACAGCTTCACGAAGGGGTCAAGATATTAATTCAGTTTAAACGTTTATTTTTATGCAGCGAAAACTTCCAAAACGTAAACGCATGTATTTCACGAAGTGCATTGCGGAAGGAGATAATTTAATTGTGACTTAAAATTCTAATAAGCTTGATTTTATTAGCTAGTATGACCTACATATCAGTTATATATATTTACTGATCAATAATAAAGGGGTCTTGATTCCTGCTTTAAACGCACAAATGCACACGCTCATTTGAAAAAAAGTACACATATAGATGCACTTGAAAACAGAAACCCGCATAATTTTCACGCCATGCTTTTGAAAAACTGATAAATTAACGCGAACCGCAGTTCTTGCTTACCGTGTACAACGCCCAGGAAGAATGACAGGTATGGAATCCCGTTTGCGAAGAAGCAGACAGAGACGGACAGAGAGCTTAGAAGGCACCCCGTCAAGGTCAGCTTCCATACTGCCACGCATCTCGTCAAAAGTCCGGCCCCGAGAGCTGTGAAATAAATGGCGGAAATAAGTTTTACGCAGATGCCAAGGAACGCTGTTGCTAGTAAATATTGGGGGGCTTATTTTTAAATAAAATATGCTCTCAGACTCCGTCACCGCTCTCACACCTTATAAAACTCTTCATGCTAAGTGTGTCCGTGTAATGTTTGCTCGGAACTTGCCTTGCCCAAAGCGTATCACGTCTGAATGTGATAAGTTTCTTTTGAAGAATATGACGTCATGATGACGACATGGTGGCACGTGACGTCGTCATGACGTCATGATGGCGTCATGGTTCCACGTGACGTAACCGTCCTGTGTGATATTTCTTCATGACGGTCTCCTTATAGAGTCCGGACTATAAAGCGCATTGTGTTAAAATTCCTGATAGACTTTTTTCACGAATATGTCTGAGCATTGAACCTCACGGAATAGTTCGTTTCCAAGAAAGATTACTTCCTTCGGCGGACGCCTTAAAATCAAAAGGCGTTTGGACTCAAATTGTGTGAGAAAACTGCACTTAGCTCCACCTACCGGCGGTAGTGTAGATCACGAGGGTGATGAACAGTGGCCACGCAGCCTGCTGGCGGGTCACGTGGTAGGTCCCCATGATGCCGACGTAGATCACCGGTGCCGCTCGAAACATAGCGAAGGAAAATATGTTGATCCAAGCACAAGCCGCGGCAAGCACCCAGCTTCTCGCGGAGTCCATGGCCGGCCGCTTCCTCTCTCTTTGTCGCTTTGAAAGGGACCACGGTTCCAGAGAGGAGCTATCAAAAGGGCTCATTCTTATCTGTCGTCTAGCGCAATGGATAAAGCGGGCATTCTTACGCTGTCCTTCGTTCCCGGTTTAGATAGTGATAAATATACTCAAGCATCTAGGCAACGAATTGCAGTGGAGCGCGTGAGAAAGGCTCTGTTTTCGCGGGCACGTTTTAAATTAAACCGGCGTTTTCCGCTATGGATAACTTGAGCACTAGGTTGGACATTCGGCGAGTAAGTCAACGAGATCGTTAACCGGCGCGATTGGCCAGTGCCGTGCTTGACCTTAGCACCCTCCGATGGCAGGATGGCGCTGACCCATTGCGGCGGTCGTCAATCTCGCCGACTTTCTCGCCGAATAATACCAAGGACTTAGTATCCGAATTGGTTCGAACCTGTGTCCCTACCATGTAGCCCGGTCCCCGCGGGACCGTCTGATCGGATACCAAGACATCACCACCTATTACCTCCTCTCCCGTCGGATCTATCCGCAGGAGGATAAATCCATTAGCTTAGAACAATCCCAAGTCTGGCACCAACTTCAGATGAGAGCTTTTTCCAACCCGGTCACCATGACCCGTATCCACCCCAACCTTTATTTAACCTCGGTATGCCCCTCATGTGGCGCCCATGCCAACCTGACCCGAGTCATCTGGGCACGCCCCCGGGATCCCTTCCCCGAAATTACTTTTGAGGAGAGGTAGAGGGCTCTCTTCGCAACCCCGACCCAGACCCACAGGCCGATTGTTAAAAAGGGCGGAAGAGGTCGCCGGAAGGCCTCGGCCGACGACCACCACGGGAACGCCAACCTAAATCAAGGAGAGGACGTCCAGGAGGGAATGGGCCTCCGGCCCCACGCCCACCACCACCATGGGGACCTCTATTCCCCTTGGCCCATTTCCTCCATCAATAAAAAGAATTTTCTCTCTTTCTTTCTCTCCCCGATCTTACAGGTTTTTTTTTTTTTTTCTTTCGTAATTCCATGTCGCGTGCATCCCAGAACGCATCAACACGGATATGGTACCGAAAATTCAATTCACGAAGGCGCAAGGTTGTGGCTCACGCGAGTAACGCTTTTATTTGTTGAATTAGAGGTCTAGACTATACGGACTGACAACAAAACCAGAAGCCACACTCATGATAATGGTGATGCCATCGACCACGAAGTCAGTCTGCAGATGTTCGGTCATGCTTTGCCTTCGACCTATCGGCTTCATAGTGGGCGTCAAGAAGCGCATATTGCCCATAGCGGCTTCTCGGTGTTCGGAACGACGAGTCTTAGGGTGTGAGTACGGCTTTGAGCTCTTCGCTTTCTGCCCGATTCTTCTGAGCGTCCCATTCCAGGCATCTCCCTCTCAGAAAAATCCAAATCCAGAACATAGAGCCGAGGGTCATTGACGCTGCAAGCAGCAGAAGGAGGCCTTGGTATTCCCCCAGGATATCCCTGAAATAACGCGAAAAAAAACTTTAGGCCTAATCTTAAGAAACGTGATAAGCTTTTTTTTTTTTGATAAAAATACGGCCAGCAGTATTTTTCTTTTTTTATAATTATTATGGCAATTATCAGGGACCAGGACAAGGCGACGCTCGGCTCGAGCAATCGGTTCGCCGGCGCCATAAATGACTCCGACAGATTCGGCTACAATTTTGACACAAAAGCTTAATTTTCGTACCAACTGGGGGTTTGTGTACTGCACTTCGTGTTAGGTGAGGAACTTTCTTGCGATTGACTATGACAAGTAAAGCAGGCGAAATTACTTGTGCGGCAGTTGCAGTCTTCATTTGCGTAGCAAGTCAAAAAGTTGGAGGACCGGCTACAGTACCGACAAGTTTTGCACAATATCCCCGAATGATATCACGTATAGGTAGCGGCACCAAATATGTAGGCAGTCAACGCAAATGAATAGCAGACAACGAAGTTTTTGCGTCCTACGGCACTCTTGCGAGGTGTTGAAGTGCCGAGCGACGGCACTCCACGCGCGCATTCAAGTGCCGTCCAAGGGTGGTAAACTCAAGTCAAATTTAACAATTCGCATTTGAGTTGAGGATTAAAGTTAAGGAGGAAGAAGTAAGAAAACCGTTTCATGACCCCTTTAACCTGCCCGGCTGACAGCGGTATTAATATGAAGCACAGATGTCCCGGTTACTTGTACGCAAGCGTAGGTAAAGGAACGCAAGTAAACGGGGCTGTGTGAACCAGCCTCTAGTCTTTCAAAGCAAAGTCCTAAATCAGTTGGCTCTTCGAGCGCGCATTCGTCATCGCTTCATTTCGGTTACTATTTAACTCGAACCATTTATACTGATAAAGCTGATGCGTTCTTCTGCGTTCTGATCGCCTAATGCCGCCATTTCATTGGCTGCGAAGTGATGACAAGATGCGCCGGACTCGCCACGACCTGAGCATAACATGAATCAACCCGAAATCAAACAGCCGAAGTCGTGATTACTTTCCAATGCACCCACACGTTTGTAAAGCCCGCTGAATACATTGAGGAACTCACGGTTGAAGGAAACGTATCCGTTCCAGTAATTTGGCGGACGAAGTTTTCAACGAAGCGGTGTCAGTTCGATAACTTCTTCTTTCTTCTTCTATTTTGTTGACCCGCTGTAGCCCCCTTTTTTTTTTCTCTCTCTTTTTTAGAATCACATGATCACGATAAAATTTTACGCTGTGAATAGCCAATGCCAAGGCATATTCATCGTGCTTATTAAATCGAGTTTCTGTGTTGTTCTTGTTGTTGTTGTTGTTGTTTTGTTCTTTTGTGTGTCTATGATGAGTTCATTATGGGCTGATAAACCAGCGTGGAATTTGAATGTGCTGGCGACAGTGTTTTCATTATCACTCTGTTCATGCCACACATTTTCAGCGCTCACTCATGTAGAAATTGACGTATCGCATGGCTGCAAATGCGGGCGAACTGCTATTTGTCATGTTCAGAACCCGTTCCACCATAGCCCAATAGACAAAGATGGCAAAGAGCAAAAGGAGATTATAGTGACAGTAACAAACGCAGGTGTGATCTTTTATTTTACAATATTATACCCATACAATACAATACAAACTTTATACTCTCCACAGATACATGGGGTGAATGGGAGGCCGGAGAAAAAGCTGCAGAAATGCAGCTTGACGAGGTGCGGACCCCCTACTCAGCAGCTTCGACGGAATACAAAACTTACATAAATAAAATGAGTTCAGAAATAAAGAATACAAGTATAGTGCACACGTAGGAAATTCATTCCTAAATATAAAAACACAAATTTAGTATACTGTTGTTTGACATCTTCACTACATCTTTATTTCAATCGCAACATTCAATCAAGAAAAAGGTAAAGCATAACGACGTAGTGTTTGTTTTCCATAACTTGTCCTGCACTTCAAAACGAAGCAAATTGTTGTGTGTATGTTTATGCAGCCGGGAGTTAGTCTGCCTCAGTGGGCGTCCGGTGTCTCAGCTGTAGATGAGCAATTGAGCCAGTGCGGTACAACCGCTAGCCTGGGGCCTTTAACGTGCATCACGCAGTAGTGATACACGACCGCACACCAGTACGATGCCCATCCAGATCGAAACGGCCATGGTTGGAATTGAACCCAGGATCCTGGGTTCTGCAGCGCGAGCTTTCACTCCACGTGCTCCGAGCTGCTGTGCGCTAGCCCACTCAACCACTGATGCCTTTTTGTTTTTTTTCTTTATTGATGGTTACCGACTCTCCCCCCCCCCCCCCCCCCCCCGCCCCCGCTCCCTGCATTATGGAATTAGCCAAGGCTGGTGATGTCTAGACGGGTGATTATTTTTTTTCTTTTAATTCAAATAGCTGAAGAATTGTACTAGAACGCCCACATGTCGCATGTTTATACGCCATTGCTAAAATATAGCTTTAAATTTGCTGTATGTTCTGGAGTTTGTATAATTGAAACAATGACTCTGTGTGATAGATGTAGGAAATATCTGCTTTATTCGTATCACCGTTTTTGTAGTAACTGTATCATATCTAAAATTGAATCAATCGTATTTTCCCAAACGAGATCGCAGTAACACAAAGGTGAATATAAATATGAATTATATAAAACACTTTTACGCTTTTCGGTAGAACATATCTGTGTTTGTTCATAAATCCTACAAATTTACCAAGTTTACAGCAGAGTTTTCTTACGTGGTTAGTCCAGTGCATATTGTCACGGATAACTCCGAGTGTTTTAACACTCTTTACAAATTCAATGCGCAAAGACCCAAAGCTGAGAGGATGTTATAATCTATTACTTGCACCACGTGGGCGAAATATCATCTCTTTTGTTCTGGACACATTAATAGTTAAACAATTTAGCCCATTTTTTTCACTTTATAAGAAACGCATTAACTTTACTTATAAGACCCTCTTCAGATATCTGAAAAAAATACACTTGGTTCGTCCGTATATATAATATCTTTGCAACTTGAATCGAGCTTCATTGTGCCATTTATATATAACAAAAAAATAAGTGGTCCGAGGATACTTCTCTAGGAAACTCCTGATAATATATTTAAAGGTCTCGATCTCTGATTTTTAATTTGCACAAATTAGGAGCGATACTGTAAGTACGACTTAAGTAGTGTGAATGTAAGGTCACGAATGCGATAAGAAAATAACTTATTTAGCAGAATTAAATTATTTGTGTCATCAAATGCCTTGCTAAAATCTAAGAGCAGCCCAACCGTCAAACCTTTTCTTCGAAATTTCTAAGTATGTGCTGTTTTTTAACTGATAAGGCTGTTTCTGTTTATCATTTTTTTTTTCGGAATCCGAATTGACACTCAGAAATGAGCGAGTGTTTATCACAGAAATTAATATTGCGGGAGTGAATAACTTTATTTAGCCCTTTTAACACTACTGTAAGAATGGATATAGGACGGTAGCTCCTAACTCATTCTTGCTTCTTGATTTGAATAAAGCTAGAACTTTCGCGCTTTGAATGTTTTTTTAGGAAAGATACCACCTCTTGCCTCACAATTCCTTTTTTTTACGCTTCTTGTTAGATATAGTTTGTTGCAGGTCAAGAAAAACTGGACAAGCTCCTCTCGTGAAGCACTTCAGCCTTTCCTTTTTAACGACGGTACACTGGAAAGGGTGTGAGAGGGGAGGCGAGCCCACTCGACCTTTTCATATATTTTTTTTTAATTTAATGTTTTTATTCAGATAACATACATCAAACAGTTGTCTAGGGGGCCGTCGCCAAAGCCAACTAAAATGCCTGACGAGGCGCGTCTTGCCCACAGAAGACTGCGCCAGCGAGCGCTCTAGAGTTCGCGGCGCTGCATAAAGGTTGTTTTGTCTTGTTTTCTAGGGAATCCGCATATCAATCGAAGGTGCGCAAGGCGCGGAGGCCTTATCTGGTTCCCACCTGCTCTCCTCGATGGATCGAGACGTCAGTCGGTGCTCGCATGATTCGTCACTAGAGGCGCCCGCTGCCAGCACAGTGGCTATTTTTGGGTGATCCGAGAACGTGCATTATTTCGACGGCGGCACAAGAGCGGTCGTGTTCAAATAGCGACCTTGCGCTTTTGTGCCTGCGAAACGCGCTTTTTCGATCCAAGCAAACATGAGAGCGATGAACCCTGCTAAGCGCTACTGCTACTGCAGCGTGCTGGCGCCACGCTATACGCTAGGTGTTCCCGAGAAACGGAACACCTACCGTATAGCGTGCGAGAAACGGAACACCTACCGTATACGGTAGGAACATCTACCGTAACGCCCCAAGCCAGCCTCGCAAAACGCTGCCTGACCGGCCTCTTGGCCCCGCTGCAGCCCCACTGCGACCGGCAGGATTGGGCAACACGACACTTAGTTTCTAGAGAAATGCCGACGCCGTCGGCCCCACTGATCAACACATCTCAAAGTTCTAGTACACCCTACCTAGATCGGCGGCGAACAGCCCGTTGCCCGAGCCCACCCCGAGCGCCCGATCTGCATATTGGTTCCGGACAAATTCTGCGACATCTATGGGGAAAAGGCTACGAATAAATCGCGGGTGAATCCTCCTTCAAGTAATCCAAACTCCCAGTCCAGTGACATCTTTTAGACGTGTAAAACAATGATAGAATTGCGTAACAACATGCAATAAAATATCCAATTCGTAAGTTGGCCATGCTTATACCAGATTTTTGTCTTCTTTATTTACCTCCAGTGAACTGGTAGCAAATACAAGTGATAAACATATTTCAATATACGCGAAAATGGGATACATACTGTAGGGTACTTCTTCACTTAATCGTCGCGCTATTATGCGTCCTACTTTAAGAAGGTCGCCGCCTGGGTTCACAGTCACTCCACCACGCATCAACAAGAACGTTAGTCGCCTTAGACGAATATTAAGTATATGAAGAAAAAGCATTAAGTTTCGGAGAGGACGAACAGATGTCCAGAATGATGGGGGTCAGGAAAGAACGTCTGTGGAGACTGGCGGTCTTGTGGACCGTGTGATGAGTGTCCGAGAACATAGTCGGTAACTTTCTTTGATGAGGTCATCCAAAAGCTTAGGGTACGCTATAATAATTGATTATATGGAGAAGTAGTATCTATCTAAATTTTGTCCGTATTAATACAGTTTTCATCATTCTTGATTTTTTCATCCAGTTCCTTGGAGGTTGAAAAACAAAATGGCCCTCCTTTTCATCAGAAACGAATGGTCCACTGAAACGACATCTCAAGACCATGGACCTGAGACGGCTGTCATACTCCCAAAACCTAGAAAGCAGTCTAGTTGCACAGGAAACTGTGATAGGTGCTTTCTCAAACCAACTGAACATTAAAAATGCTCATCAAGTGTCATTACTGCTTCAATTTTAGGCTAAGAAAACCGTAGCAACATGACGACCATTGCAGATGGGAGTTTACTCAAGAGATTCTTTCAGAAGTCACTGGTAGCATCGGACGAAGGTTCGCAGACGGCTGTTGGCGGTTCCTTATCATGCCGTCTCTCGATTGCAGTAGCCTTGGTGCAAGTTGCGTTCTCGCCATCGTTCTTTCAATAAGACCCACATCCACAGCAATGCGCTGAGGGCCAGGCAGGCTGACAGAAAGAATAACATGCCTTGGTAGTCTCCTAGTGTGTCTCTGAAAACACCTGGAAGAAGTGGTACAAGTTGAAGTAACTTAAAGTTATGTTTCTTTTTCATTGATAAAGAAACGCAAGCTTCGAGTTATGGGTCTAGTTTGTGAAAAGCTGCTCCAATCAGTTGAAGTCTGTGGTCTTATCGGTAAAATCATTTGCTTTGTTAACTTTCTCTTAAGTAGAGCGGGTATTCGTTATAATAATCGATCGTGTTCTTTTATGCCAAATTATCAAAATGAAAGGCCACCTGTTCTCAACAAGACTACTTATTTAATTATAATAGACTGGCACATGTTTTTCTCACGAAATACAACCAGCTGCGCAATTTTCTTTTTATCAGGCTCACTGGGATGGTGAAAATTATGCGGGTTGGGCGTTGCTTTTACTACCGAAGCCATACTTTCTGTCATCAAGTCCAGGTCCAAGTCTACGTTTTCACCAGCTAACTTGCACTTTTAAACTTCCCTCTGTTTCAATAATTAAAAAAAAACACTAGATCGCAGTTAGTTTTTACGGACTTACCAATAATCGCCGGTCTAGTGCAGAGAGGTATTACGACGGTCAGTGTCACAAGCCCGAAACAAAAACTGAATTCTTGGGCGTCAACAAGCTCCATCACGAAGACGGGGACTAAAGTCGAAGTGGCGCCGTTGCTCCAGCCCGCGATTATAGAGGACAACATCTGAAAGGGGTACAAGTCGGTGGAAGCAAGCAAGAGAAAGGAAACCGCCCAGAGAAAAAAATGCAGACTCATCGTGGCGCTCCTCTTGATACATTTTTTGTCCGTGATCCACCCAGACCCAAACCTGGACGCGAGATCTCCCACTCCGTAAAACACGAGAAGAAGAACGGCATTCCACTTGGGTAGGTTCCTGTCTGTTCCGTAGTCCACGATGACCGTAAGGTAAGTTGACATGTTGAAGAGGACTTGCCCGTAGGAAAAAGCGATCAGATAAAACATCGGAAGCTTAAGAAATGAGGGTAGGGTTATCCTTTCTTGGCCAACTTGTCTCTCTTCTTGCTTTGCGTTCGGGACGTTCATTTTCTCTAGGCACACACTGTCACTTAGTCTCTGTGCTCGCGACTGATGGCTGAGTAAATTATCACGTTCTAGTGACATCTCATTCCTGTCTTGTCCATCTCTGGCCTTGGGTGCTGAGTCACTTTCGCCAAACGGAGAAAACACGGTCTCTACGCCCCGAAGAATGTCTAGTTGAAAGCTCTGAGGTGTTTTTCTCCCATTCGTGTAATCTGGTTTAGACGGATCTCCAATGACTGCACCTGAAAATTGATTGTTTCCTTCTGGAGGCAGCCTATACAAAAGGGCGCCACAAACAGAGTGTAGTGCGACAGCTCCGCATAGTAAAAACCCACCATTAAATTTGTACTCGTCAAAAAGAAGCTGAATCACCGGTGGGAAGATCAGACCTCCGATGGTATATCCAGAGCTGGCTATCCCTGAAGCGACGGCTCGATACCGGGAGAAATGCCGACTAATAACCGTGTTGAAGAGCGTACCGAAGCCGATGCTCGTGCCTGTAGAGAGAACGACCCAATCAGCAAGGGTAAAATGGCGTTGTAGTCACACAATCGAAACGTTACAAAGGCAAACGTGAAGGAGCCAATTAAAAGACAACACGGGCGGCGGCCAGACTGCATCCCAAAAATTGCATTGGGCCGACAATCATGCAAAGAACCCCTTTGGGCATTAAGTGTGTGGACAACGTCCAAAGAACAATAGGGCCCCAAGAACCAGCTGAGTCAAAACGGCAATCTGCGCAGAAATGATGCGCAAGCGGTACGTCGTGTCCTTGTCCACCAAAGTATTTCAGTCGTGAGTTTGTTTAAATCGCAAGAAGTTAGTCCTAATGGACGTCCGGTCTCTCCGCTGTAGATGAAAAATTTAGCCAGTGCAGTACCACTGCAAAGCTGAGGTCTCTCATCACTTTGTAGTGATACACGGTCGCACGCTGGATACGAAGCTCGTCCCGATTAAAACGGGCAGGGGTGGGGATCGAACCCCGGACCGTTGGGTTCAGAAGCAGCCCGCTCTTTGGCTTCGTTGCCATAGAAAGCTGTCTCTAAGTACAGATGACTGTGCAAAGTCTAAACAAATGTCCCCTTCTCAATGTTGCGTTATGTATCTTGGTACATAAGCAAGAGAAAAATTAAAGACACTTACAATTCTCTGTAATTCCGAATTAGAGCACAGCTTCTAAGAAGGAGAAGGGGAGAATAAGGAGTGGAGGGTATGCCCCTTCCCTTCCGTACCCTCCCCTCCCCTTCTGCTGCTCCCCTCCCGTTTAGCGAGAAGTTTTCGCAAAATTCCCCGCTAAATTTAGCTGGAGAATGTTTGCGCTAAACTAAGGGGAAAATTTTCCCCGCTAAATTTAGCGGAAAAAAATTCCCTGCTAAATGTAGCGAAAAATTTGGCGGGAAAATTTCCAGCTAAATTTAGCGAGAAAAAATTGTCCGATAAATTTAGCAGGGAATCTTTTCCGCTAAATTTAGGATAAGAATTTCCCTGCTAACTTTAGCCGGCAAACGTCCCATAACGCAACGTGCGCAATTACGCCGACGCCGCTCAAGCCGAGAAAACAAACGCCTAAATGCTGCGCTCTAAAAAAAAAGAAAAAAAGTTGGTTTTAACATTTACAGTATTGAAAACATTGAAACATTGACGAACTTGGGGTCATTTAAGCTTATCTTTGACGTTGTAATAATAGGGGAAACAAACCGTTCGCAGACAGTTTGAGCCGTGTTTCTTCCTTGCACGACGGTTCTATCATATCGGAAACCGTCCGCCGACATGATCGAAGTACGCATGCACCGAGTCAATGCACTTCGATCATGCGCACGTCCGCGGATAACTTTGTGTCATCGCGTCTGCAGTGAAAAACACCGTGTCCTTTTTGGCATAACGCACGAGCAGTGCGACCGGAGGGAACACCATTTCGTGTATCTCTGTCTGCGTGACGTACCGTGTAATAGTCCCAGAAACAGCACGAGAAAAGGCATCGAGTTCACGAAGAAGCAGGCAGCAAGAGACGCAGCGCCCGTCAGACTCGCCGACACGACCAGCTTCCAAACGGCGATTCGCTTTGCCAGAATGCCCGCCACGGCCGCTGAAATGTATACATTGTATACTCTTTCACAATACGGCTTACATCATTGCAAATAAGCGTGTAGTAACCGACGGCTCGAAGAGCGCGGGGCGCGGGGAACCCCGTGAAGCTCTCTCAAGGATCGCTGAAGGTCGGCGCCAGACCTGCGTGCTTTCGCGGGTAAGAATAACAAAACGAGAGTCAGGAAGCAAGAATCGCAAAGGTAACGACGTAAAACACTCGAGAGAATCACTTAAATTGTCGTTTTCATGCTTCCGTTTCTATCATTGTGATGCGCCGATTTCGTAATCGTTGATTGATTTTTACTTCGGCACTTCGGACGTAGCTTTGAATGGAGTTGGATGACCCTTAACAACGATCATTGACCATTGAAGAAACGCACGGCTAGGCGGATCCTCCGCAACCGATGAAATAGCGGCAGCGGATGCCAAGAACGCCGTAGGACGAATCGCCAAGAAGAAAACGTGATCTTAAGAGGCCACGCCACTGCGTCCTTGGCAGTAATTGTACCAGCTCGCGCTGGAAAACACATAGCTACCTCTTTACGTGCGCGCTGAGTCACGGAGCACAACTTTACTGCCGCTTGCAGTTATGAAGGGTCCGAGGTCGATATAGCAACAAACGTAGCGTGTTGGTAAACGTTATACACGATGAATTTAGTAATTTGTATACATAGTAATATACAAACACTGCAGTTTTGTCCTTTGATGTCACTTATTTATGACTCTACATCGTGCGCTCAAAAATATTTTATTGGTAGTAAACTTTTCGTACATGCTAGAAAGTCGTTAGATTTCTTTTTTGTTTAGTTCTTAGATATGGCCGATTGCTACCGCCTCTTGCAATATTCGCGAGTTTTGGAATCGATACATTGATTTACATCCAATGCTATCTTGTTCTTTGATGTCACATCTTTAATCTAAAATGTGCAAAAAAAAACTGTTAAAGAGTAATTGTTTATTGCCAGTGTATACTACGCATCACAGAAAGCTTATTATCGGCCAGATGCAGCGTTGGTTGTCGGAACCACATTCCAAAGTTACAGAACCATCCGTTGTCTCGGAACTCAGAAAAACCAATCACGGAACAAGAAAAGTCATCATCATTATTATGAGCCACACCCCTCGTTTCTTAAGTTGCCAATAACTATAGCTTCGTTGACACAATTAAAAGCTACTAAAAATATAACGTTTCGTGTTCTTTTTTTTACATTAAGTGGAAAGTAGGACACCACATACCTGCAAGACAGCTGAATATTCCCATCAGTGAGATTGGCCACGAGGCCTGTTCTCTCGTCACACCCATTGACTGGAGGATGTTCACAAACAGCACAGCCGACGATCGAAATACGGCGTAGGAAAATACATTGCACCAGCAGCAGCCAGCCGCCACAAGCCAGCTTCTTCCCGAGTCCATCGCGACAGTCTAGAGTTTTCGTGAATATCAGCCTTCTGAGCGTTGTGCATCGACAACGTTCCCATGGGAATACGTCTGATACCCCAACGATAAGCTTTATTGTAGACTCCTTTATACTGTCTAATCCTGGCAGATCGCCACGAAAAGCGGCCGCCGAAAAGGAAAAGATGGAGCGGCAGACAACGGATGAGAGGAGTGCCACGTGACTGGCGCCCCGCTGCGGCGAGGCTGCGAAACACACTTCTCCCGGGCGAACGAGTGTGTTTCGGGTCGTCGCTGCTGCACAAGCTGTGCGCTGACGTCCAGGTTCCCCGAAAAGTGGCTCTTTGATGTTCTGTGCTAACAGGTCCTCGCGCTCCGTATCTGCGATCTGGCACTCTGAGGCTCCGTCGTCGAATTGCCAGGGTTTGTGAGTATAGAGGAGGCTATGGTTTTATGTCCGACATCGCCGTCTCACCTGCATTTTTACGACCCTTCTGAGGGGGTCATTTTGCTACCGAATATTTCTTGGTATGTTTCTTGTGAGCGCGTACTGTCGGCATCGTAGATCTAGCATATTTGAGTGCTGGTAGTGACGATAGATACTACAAATAATGACGTGACCCTAAACAAAAGCGCACTGAAGCGCCCTAAAGCTGGAAATCAGTGAGACTCGGGCATTCATACTTACTTCTCGAGTACCGAGAAAAACCTGCCAAGAAGCGCATTCGCGTGCATGTTGTACATGTACGAGTCTTGTCAGAGCCGGTTGTTTATATTTCTCGCTCCAGTGGGACTCGGGCATAACGCACCTGCAGTTTTTAGTCTTTTAACGTAGAATCGTACTTTTGCCAAGCTAACTCAGATTTGGTGCATGGGTAAGTTATTTCCAAAATGTGATTTAATTGTAATTATAATTACGTTGCTCCTAAAGTACTTTAACCACAATGCAATTACTACTCCGGGAAAAGTAATGCATTACAATTACAAATTACTTTTAAATAGTTATGTAATTACTTTACATTCACTATTTCTGAGAGCGACCCGAATTAGTTTACGTAACTTTAAACCAGTTGTTTAGAATGCAACGCATTTTTTCATTCCTTGCCCCAATGTTTGAGGAGGCTTAAGCATCGCTGCATAAATGTCACGTATTGTAGTATCCTTTTATAGCTTTTGTGAAATTAATTGTGACGTAACAGTGTACCGCAAGGTGTCGGTGCGGTCAGAAGGGACGCATTGACTGACGTCACTAAATTTTGTTCGCCGGAAGTCACGTGAGTGTCACTCCTCGAGCTCCCCACGACCGCGCCTAAAACTTTTTTTTTCATCTTCTCCATGAACGATTGTAGAAAACTAAGTTTCAGTTCCACTAGCTTCTTATCACTGCACCGTTTGTTAGTTTGCGCGCTGTCAAAGTTGAGGACGAAGAGTCAGTAGATCGACGTGATGGAGGTCAATGATGAACCCGTTGCGAGCACAAGCCAGTGCACGAGTGCAAGCCATCAGCCCGATAGTACAGAGCCATACTGGGCACAAAGCAAGCTATCGAGTTTTGAAAATAAAAATTAGAACGCTGGCAGAAATTAGGATGTGTAGCATACGACACGCCCGATCGCATTGCTGAAGCTTCAGACACCGAGGTCGCCGGATCATCGTATGCGGAGGGCAAGTTCGTCTGCTTCTTGCGCAGGGGGTAGCGGTGACGTCAGAACGCCGAGCCCTGATTGGCTGATCGCGCCCCCCTATCTGAGCGTCGTCTGCTCCTTTGCAACGTCGTCTGCTCGCAACGTCGTCTGCGTCTGTCTTACCTTTCCTGCGACTTTCGTAAGTCGCAGGAAACGATCTTACGCCAAAAATATGCGTAAGCCATAACTTAAGAACAAATTTGTATTCACGAAACGAAATTTTCGCAAGTTTTGCGCAGGTTACGACGAAATCCTAGGACAGCTTTGAAGCTGTCGTACGCACTTCTTACAATCAGCATGGCCGACAGCGTCGCGGTCGCGACGACCCACGGACGTTTATTTTTCTATGTGCGCTTCTCACGCGTCCCGACTTCAAGCAGCAAGAAAAAAGTAAAAGTACTTGAAACAGACCACGACGAACAAGAACGCGCTGGATCCACAAACACCCGGGAAAAGCTCCAACGGCCATGATTCCACCGAACGCGACCAAGCGAGCACGGCAGTTAGGCCTAGCAGGCACTCCCGGACTCGGCGACCGTCTGCCCACGACCGGCTGGCGTGCTGAAAGGAATATGCCCGCGCGACCCTTGTGAACCCTTCCCGTATTATACTTTGATCGCTGACCTCACTTTTGGATTAAGAGGTCAATTTCTTCCTCTTGTTATCTCCTTGTTTCCCGAAGCAACGGCGACTCTCGCCGGTGAAAAAGCGGTGAATCTCCGACAGACGCAGGAAAGGTAAAGCAGCCATCGCTTTGACTAGCAGACGTAGAGCAGACGACGTCAACTGCGCCAACCCGCCGACGCTGTTAAAGAATGGGGGGTATCGCCGCACACGAAAGGAGGGACAAAGTATTTGGGAGGGAACTTGCACGCTCACCTCCCGGTTCTTAGTAAACAAACGTCGGCGCCTCGGGACACCTCGCCAGTGAGTCCTCTGAATTCCCTACTTGATGTGCGTCTGCTAGTTGTTAGACAAAAACAACGTACCGCTCGAGTTATTTCGTCTGCCCTCTGTGAAAGGCGAAGTCGAGCTCGCATGTAAAGACCTGCACTTCTGAAAGTCGCACGAAAGGTGAGACAGACGCAGACGATGTTGCGAGCAGACGACGTTGCAAAAGAGCAGACGACGCTGAGGTAGGGGGTCGCGATCAGCCAATCAGGGCTCGGCGTTCTGACGTCACCGCTACTTCCTTTCTCATGCGCAGAAGACGAAAATAAGCCCACTTGCGAGGCGTATAGTCTCCAGGCTGAAGATGTTTACGGTCTAAAGAATACGAACTGGTGAGTGTACCAAGTACAAGTAAACGTTGAGTATAAAGTACGTGTTTTGTCTAAAACATGGGCAGAACTTGTTTACTAGGTTCACTGACTCCTCTTCTTCTACCGTTACAGCAACATTAAGCGATGAAAAGCAAATAAAGAAACCTTTTATGCTTGGATTGCTCCCGCAGATGCGGAGAATAATAAAAAAATATATAAAAACAATATTACGCGCGGTCGGGGTAAGCACGAGGAGTGATACAACTCACGTGACTTCCGGCGATGCCTCCCTTCTGACCGCCCCGACCTCTTGCGGTGCACTGTTACGTCACAGTGCACTGGCGGGAACTTTGAATTGGCTTCGTATTTCTATTTTTAATAAAAAGAATCTACGCAACTCTAAAGTGAAACAATTCTTTGGTGATATCCTGATACACCATTTTAACGCCTAGCATAAAAAAAAAATCCTTTTCTTTTTGGAGGGGGGGGGGGGGGGGCGTGTCAGAGGCCTTTTAAGTCTTGGGCGAGCTGACAACCTACGAGAAATTGTCCACGACGTCGTCAAGGAAATGCTCCGGAAGAGTTTACCCACTGCTTATCGCCCCGCCTCGATTTCCATCGCCGAGGTCGTCCGAGAAGAGGTTCAACGAGCCTTCCAGCCAGAATGGTTACCGCGCTTGGCTTTCGCGTGGTGGCCCCAGGTTCGATTCATGGGAGCAGCAGCCGCTTCTTTTATTTTTTTTTTTAATTTCAATTTAGCATTCTTGTGAGTTGTCGTCTGACAACTCACGAGAACTGTCGTCTGAACGAGGTACGAATGTTCTACGCGCCGAACGTTCTACGCCTAATGTTCCAGAAATCCACGCGGACACAAAAGGTTCTTCGTGTGGCTGTTCGAGGACAGTCTCAAGGTCTCTCACCCCAGCGCTCAATCCTGCTGTTTCGCCGACATCGACGCCTGCGATACGAACCTTATTTTCTTTTATTTTTGGCGCAAGTTCGACCAATTCAACGTTTAGTTTCTCCAGTCATTAGCCGCCTCGTCATTTTTCATTCGTGGCAGTATGGTAACATTCACGCGAAGCGTGTCGACATAGAAGTGGAACGAGACCTACAACCAGGGTGGAGAATGAAAATCAAAATGGCTTAGATCGTAATTTAAATCAGACCGGTTTTAGTAGGATGATTTAAAACGCATATTATTTGCGAAAATATTCCCAAACATATATTTTATTAATTTGATGCTTTTTAAATGGCCATATATTATGCATTTAAATCAAAGAGTCATCACACCAGAAAGATTTATATTGGACTGAACACGAGCAAAAAGCAGTGGTCTTCGGAGAAAATCGATGCGATCAGCATCATTTCAGCCTCCAACTTTGTTCGTCAGTTACGTCACATATTTTTGCAATGAAATCAGTACGGAAAAGATAGAAATGAGAACTTATAAAGTAATGGTTTTGCTAAAAAATCAGATCGCAAAAAAAAAAAAGTGAATACAACTTTTTCGCTAACAAAAAGCTAAGCTGTTTTTGTTCTAATATGGCAGGGTTTTAATGTACAGAAAGTTGTTCAAATTGCGTTAATTCTTTTCTCCGCATTGCATTCACTGATTGGAAAAGTTTATAAAAAAATACCTGCAGTGTTTAAAAATGCATAAAGTTATAAATCATCAATATTTTCTAGCAACAGTGATATTATAGTTTGATATAAATAAAAAAAAATTGGCTAATTTTTTAAATCATTTGCTTTACGTGTAGTTTTTTTTTTTTTTTTTTGCTTACAGCATAGGTATTTGATGTGAAGTGTGTGCACTGCATGACACTGCCCACATAGACAAACGATTAACTTTTGTTTCACATTTTAGTGGTCGCTATTAAAACTACAAGTGCGGTGGACATTTCTCATTCGGGGCGCAAACTTGCCCGATAAAAGTTGCAGGGAGTACCGCCTGCGTGAGAGAAGCCCAACATCCTTGGCAGCACTACTGCTATTAAATGATGACGACCACTTTACATACTAATTTATTTCGAAGCGAGCTTTTCTCTGAGGTCGTCAAAAGACTGGCGAACTTTTCTCCGGACCCCACAAAAGTGGACGAG